ACGTTTATTCTGATCACCTTCCATTAACATTCTACTCGATCGCGACGGATTTGTTCCCCCCGATATCGCTTGTCGGCCGCGCCTTCGCAGCTGCTTCCCCCGTAGGTCTCGGGCGGCAGCCCGGCAGGACTCCGGCCGCGAAGGAGCGGCTGCCCGCTCGGAACAAGAATCGGTGAGAATGACATTCGCGGTTAATGACTGACACTTTCGCGATCCGAGCCTGGAGAAGAAGCCTGAGATCGTCCGGACGAATGAGTATTCCGCTTCCGGACAAGCGTCGGAAGGTCAATACTGTGACCCGCTAGATCTATTCCTTGCAATTGCCTGCGCTTTCGGGCGCCATCAGCGAATCGAGCCGCACCGAACGAAATTCGTGAAGTCTAGCGGTTTGCGGGATCCGCAGGCGGGGCGGGGATATCACAGAGATGATCGAGAATGGCGATGTCGTTGGTGCGAGCGTTTTAAATAATGCGACGCGGAATGTGAAATCGAGCAGAGCCGCAAACATCACGCGGAAAATCTGTTCCGGACAGCTGAGTACGGGAATATATTTCAATGATCCCGACGCCTGCCTCCGACTGGACGTCGTGTGCTCTGAAGGAGAAGAATCTCTCAAGATGCTAGCTCCGGAGAAATACACAGCCTTCCCCGCGAATCTGTCGGCAATGCCGAGAGGGGTCAAATGCGAAGGGCCGAAGGATGGACTGAAGATTATATTCCGAGGTGATTCGATCGATTCGGATCCGCATGTGGGACAGCTCCGTCCGGATATTGGAACTCGAAGAGGAAAAACCTGGACGAAGTTTCGGCTTCGTCGCAAAGTTGCGAACGGCCGATGAAGGATCTCATCGCAAAGACATGCCGTACGGCTGTCCACCCTCATCTCCGTTTCTTTATAACGCATGTGCATTTGCCGCTGTTTTTCTTCTCCCGTCGTTCCCCTCCTCGAGCCGGGAGCAGCTGCTGCTGCGTTAGCCGTGGCCACGCAAAACTTTGTTGTTTGGTTGGCTTGCGCTCCTATAAAACGGGAGGAGCAATAGTAGAGAGAACGTTCCGTTTACTTCGAAACGACACCAGGAGAACGAAGGAGACGAACGACTTACTGCGACTCCGAGGGAAACACGAGGAGGGCGAAACGAGGTACAGACGGCTGAGAGGAACAAGGGAACCGTAGGGGATGAGAACTCGGATGGATAGGCGAGCACGATCGGGGAAGTCTGAGCTTCTGATTTTACAACAAGTTTCTATGCTCGTGGAAGTCACAGACTGAGTGAGTGGACAAGCTGTTCTCTCCTTTCAGTCGAGTAGCATGAATGGAACGCCCGGCTGCTCGAGCTCCGCATTCTCCGGATATGATATTGTTCTCTATCAGGTCACATGGACCCGATGGAAATTCCCGTGACTGCTTTCCAGCCCTGTCCGTAGATTCGTATCGTTCGTTCGGGCTGTAAGCGCTCAAGCCAATTACTTCATCGGTTCCGTCTGTGCCTATTAGACCGAGAGACCCGAGGAATAAGGAAGGACGGCCTCTCTCCGCCACGAAGGGCTACCGAAGAAGAAGCCCTATAGTTCGATTCATCGCTGTGTCTCCTGAACCCGATCTCGACGGGCACTTTCGAGTCTTTATCTACGATTCCCATGTCAGGCCGTCCCTAATCCTCGTGTTATTCTTAGGCGCGCGGGAGCGGCTTGTTTTCACGCTGCTCGCATCAGTTGTCTGCGACGAAAGGATCCGAAATCGGATTGGCTCGGATGCCTACCTCCTTGCATCAGAGCGCCCCGAAAACACGAATCGTCCCGTCTGAACTTTCCGCTTCCAGTGGGAGCGTTTCTTGAGCTAGCCGATGCGCCTGCCGGTAGCGGATTAATCCATTTCTTTCATCGACCTCCGACTCGGAGACACCTGGTATATCCGGAGAGAACTCGAAATTCCGTATTTCGCCGAATTTCGGTCTTACCTCTGTACCGTTAACCGTGTATGTAGGTTGAGTGCGAGAACATGAGGGTCACGGAGCAATACTCCGTACAGAGTCGGTCGGCGCTGTTCAGGTTCTCCTGCATTAGGAAACTCCGGCGGTCCTTGTTCCTCTGCAAGTCCATGGCGGGGTAGGCTCCTTGTCGTTCGCGTCCGCTTATTCCCAATTCGTTTGTCCAACTTGGCCTTCCGAACGTTTCCTGAGCAATTTGTCAACGTGTTGTCCTTTTCAATAACGTTCTGTCTTCGTCTCGTTTTGCGTCTCCCTGTTGTTCTCCTTTTGTCCTGATCGCGTATATTATTCTTTCTTCGTTCAAACAAGAAGCTTGGAGCGCTGCCGTCCCGAGAATCGATGCCGGAGACAATTATTTTTCAAGTCAGCGTATGCGTTCCATCTTCTGCGAACGGAATCCGGATTTTCTGAAGTTCATCTGATGAGACGAGCTCTGGTGAACAGACCATCTCGATCGAGGGAGAGAAAGAAAGAGAAAGGGTATCTATCTGTCTTCTGGAGAAGGGATTCTCCAATTCATTATCAAGAGAAGGGCCATGAAGGGGAGTTCCTCCGGGCTTGGGGGAAAATTCACACAAGGACCCCTCTGAATCATCGCCTTGCATCTATCGTTTCATTACTCGAGAAAAATCCTCAATGCGCAGCGGAGGACTGCGGGCTCGAGCTGAACGGAGGGGACGAATCGGGCGCGGACGGAGGAATCCGACGAAACTTTGAAGCAGGGGCCCCGCCGGAGAAAATCGGGCCGGGGGAGATACACGGAAACTTCCCTTTGATTGTACGTGATTTAGAGCGAGAGATTCCTTCAAATTCTATGCGAGAGCAGGGACCCGTCCTCACCAACAGCGGGTGGAAAGAAGGCCACAGAGCAGCCCGATCGGAATAACGAGTGGCTTTACAGCCTGTCACGGAGCTGGATATTGAACGTGTTCCAGCTTTCGCATAAAAATCAAGTCCGGTCGAAGATGATACCGTTTGAATAATGTTCGTAAGTTGGCTCACGTCAATCCATACGCTGCGGGACTCATGGGTTCGCAGGGAGCTTGATTTAATGTGGCTCGCCAGCGAACTCTCAACGCGCGCCCCGGATCCCGAGGAAGATCCGAGGCTCTGACCGATTGATCCGATGGCGAGAGGCCCGGGTCCGTTTTGTGAATTCGACGCAAGAAGGAGAACTGTGAGCTTTCCACACACAGGTCTGCCGATTGATTCAAGAGGCTGAATCACATGAAACGGTTCCCCCAACATTTGGGTGTCGAGTGCGCAAGACCACAAAGCTTCTCTCGATTTACTGTTCGGCCGATTTATTGGCTCTGTGAAGGCGGTGGAAAGATCAGGCAGGGAAAAATCCTCACCGAGGAGGGGTTTTACGGTCTAACGTAATTGCCAACGGTGACGACGGCGGTGGCCACGACGGTACCCATGAACGATTCCAGAGTAGGTGCCATGGCTCCCGCTGCCCTTGCCAGTACCAGAGGGATCGAGCCTTCACAAGCTGATGGGACGCTCTTGGATAATTTTTGTCCTGGGACAGATGAGTTTCGAAATTTCTTAAAACGACTGCAAATCGTAGGGAAATTACATCCGGTGACAAATTCAGGAATCCGTTTGCAAGGAAAGATCCTGATGAGAAACAAGGTGTGAATACTCATGAACCCGAACCGGCCATCTCATGCTCCATTGTCTTCCAATGCGGTAGAATAGTCATCGCATGCAAGATTTTGGCAGGATTGCAATCGTTTCCTGGATGCCAACGCTAGAAAAATACCGCGACGTCGATATCAAGGCTTCCGGGAATTATTTCGGCCACATCCTCCACGGAGAAATATTCCAAAACATCGAGAGACGGCATGAGTGCTGATCGCGAATCGGATCATTGGGCGGCGACCGCTTTCATACTCCCTGCTTGCCGCCTCCCCACCGTGGAAACATCTGGTTGCTGAGCTTGCGATCCGCGGCTCATTCACAGATTCATGCTCTCATCAATTCGTGGCCGCCCTCCGCTCACCCGCTCATTCAATAGATTATCATTCATTACCCCGACTTCTTCGTCGGAAATTCGAAGCTGCAGACGAGTCTTCGGCCGGTAAACGATGTAGGTACTCCTCGACTGCGCCGAGATTCCTCTACGAATTCTCTTCGGAATTCGCCGGATCTCTTCCGTCTCTCCTGCGGAGTTGTTCCAGCCGTCGGCCCATCGTCTCGAGATGCGTATCCGTGTGGCATGCCACGCCGCTCGAAACGCTCGATTAGACCAAGCGGTCATCTTGCAGACTGTCGAGCTCCAGCTCGCGAAACGACTCTACCGGGGATCCAGCAGCCAGCCCGACGGTGTTCCCTCCGTTCCGTCGCGGACTGTTGTTAACCACCGTCAGTGGTGGGTCGGTCGGTCGGTCGATAGCTCGTTCGCTCGCTCGTAAGGTACTCTCTGTCAGAAGGAGCGGGCATTGGGAACCGAGCTACGGGGTGTCAGGGATATGAAGGGCAGCAGATAGAGAAAGCTTTTGGCTTCTCACGGACGGGCTTTAGTCGGGTGGAGTCGCAGCCGAGGTCCTTAACGCTTAGATATTGCTATAAAAGGATCTCCACTCGAAGGAAAGCTCGCTCGTTCGTTCGTTCGTCCGTCCGCCGGCCCTGTGCGGCAGCGGCCGAGCTGCCGCCAAGCGAGCCGCCACAGTCACCCGCGGCTGCCGCCGTCGCAGCCACTCGGATAACGATACCGGGCAACACCTCGCCAGGCCGAGGAGATCAAGTACTGAACGAGGCCAACTGAGCCGTTTATCCATCCGTTCATCCGTCTGTCCGTCCGTACGCCTGCCCACCCGTCTGCTTGCGCATTCTCCCATCCATCTGTGTGGCCGTGCGAGCTCTGTACCCTACCTTTGTTACGATAGCTACAGCGTACCGCGCGGTCAATACGCCCCGGATTTTCAGTCCTTCACTTAGACATCGCGCTTCCCGGCCGGTTCCGCTCCGGCGAAGTGGTGGATAACGGATGGGAATGGGCAGGAAATGAACTTGACCTTGACCTTGAAAAATGGCCTTCTGTGTATCGGTTGGTTCTGATTTCGATTCTTTAATTTCATTCCCATCTTCTGGGAGGGTCCGATCCGTGCGCACGTGATACGACTGACTGTGGAGAATTATCAGCTGAAGAATTCGAATGGAGTAGGATCAGAAGTCGATTTTTTTTTCAGGTAGTGGTGGTCTCCGTTTGACTCAACTCGGGGTCCCCTCATTAGTTCGGTTCGGGGAGCCGACCTGGCTCAATTGTTCGTATGCTCTGGATCGAGGCGAAAGGCTATACTCCGTGAAATGGTACAAGGACAATGTTGAAATATATTCCCACATCCCCGATGAAGTCCCGGCGACCAAGGTCTTCCAGCATCCAGGTGTGGATATCGACGTGAGTATTCATGTCTCCGCATACATGGCTTCCGATCTTATTTTTCAGACTGTGAATCCGACGCAGAATGGGATCTCAATCACTGTTTTCGAGAATTCTTTTGCGCCCGTCGTTTTGCCCTACGCTCCCCGAATTTCGGCGTTCATTAATTCCGCGGCGTCGCCCCCCGATATAATATGAAGGACGACGAGCCCAACGCAGAACGCATCGATGCATGGCTTCTCGACGTGCTTCAGGGCAGCTGTGAATGCGTCCCGTGGCTCCCCGTCCATGACAATAAGAGAAGCTCTCGGAGCATCGATTCCCTTCAGCCAGGCTTGAGACGAGTCCTACGAACAGAAAGCTCGCCCTTGAAAGAATCTTGCGACGACCTCACTACATAGAGGTCTCCCATGAACTCCGCGTCAGAACACGCGGAGGAGCACCGTTGAACTCTTCTCTTTTAATTATTCAGTATTCCAGACTTTGTTTCAGCTAGGGCAATCGACCGTGAGCGACCTGTTCTTACGCTCCACCGATGCCATGTCGGACGGTCGCTACAGATGCGAGGTCTCGCAAGAAGGCTCCTTCACGACGGAGCGTGCCAAAAAAGATCTCCTCGTTTATGGTGAGTGCCATAATTCCCCCTTCTGATATACATAGAATTTGTTCATCAGGTATCGAAAGGGGGCGAAGCGTCAGAGATCGACAGTCGGACGGTCAATGTATTTGGAAGGAGGGAGGGGGCACGGATAGGGAAACTGAAGCATTTTGAGGAGGGGGCATCCCCCTTTCCTCCTTGCATCCGCCACTGTGGGTAAGCCGGGTCGTTGCCACGTGTTTGAGAGAGGGAGCTTAGAGCGTAATTCTTCCCGGGGATACCCAAGACCTTGCGGCGAAAAATAATTATTCTATTAGAAAATCTGAGAAAATGTCCCGAGCCTTACTTAAATGACAGTCCACCTCGCGGCTCGGCAGCCTCCTGAAGTAAGTGGGCGTATGGGTGGGTGGGGAAGCTTCTTTAATTCGCTTTTGAAAGCCACAGAGGACCGCTTTACCGACCGACCGACCGACCGAGCGAGCGGCGACCAACCGACCTCAAGGGAAATTAGGATCCACAGCTTAGTGGCTGCCCGTCTGCGGCATGGTCTGACTGCTCGGTCGCGGAGAAGCACGACACTCGTTCGACATCGTTCGGGCTGTTTTCACTACCCCCATCTCGAGTTACTGACTGACTGAGTGTGCGTCTGTCCGTCTGTCTGTCCGTAGAACGCTTCTGCGATCTGACTGAGAGAGTGACGGAGTCCCAGCATTCGAAACCCCTAAGCAAACCTCACCGGCTCGAATCATCGACGAACTGATACCTCAAGGGCAACTGCAGCACGATTGGCCGCGGCGCGAAAAGGCACTCCGGAATCAATCGTCACATGAGTTCCGAGGAAAGGGCCGAAGAAATACAACGAGACTTCGAGATTTTCCAGCCGGGATTTTCTCTTCTCGGTTTAATTGTGCGGAGTCAGCTGAGGTCGAACGGCCGCTGTCTCCGGGACCAGAGCGACCGCGCATTGATTTCTGAAAAGGATTCGACCTCGATCGAAAGCCGAAAAGATGGAAAGTGCGAAGAACTGTTTGCCTGGTGCTGAGTGAGGACGGACGAACGAGAACCGAGCAATTGACCGCGACCGCCCTGGAAAAGTGGATCTGGCGTCATTCGGAGTAAAGTCCCGGATAGCGTCGAAGGGAGAACTGTCCCGTATTTTCCCCGCTCGTTTCGGTGATCTCCTTTACGCTTCATGACTTGGTAGATCGCCTCCTACTTGGAGAGCTGATGAGAGCTCTGCGACGTCAGCAAGAAGGCCGAGAGTGGCGGAGGGAATGGTAAGGGGGGGATTCTTTGTTGGGTCAAGGCAGGAGGAGGAGGTAGGGAGAGGAGCCCTGCGGGCGAGCGAGCGAACAGGCAGGCAAGCAGTGAGGCAGGAACGCAAGGAGAGAACAAACGAAAAAAGATCCGCCTACTCGACCACCCGACTAATGGATTATATCTGAGCTTTTTACTTCTGAGCGTCTTGGCCCGTGGGTCGTATTTAGCTCCCGAGCTCCCCGTCCCCTTTTTTAAACCCATCTTGTCGTTGGCCTCGTCCGCCGCCACCGTCGTCGGCGTCATGGTTCAATTCGGCTTTTTATCCGGAGCATCATCCCGGCTGCTGACAGAAGCATGGTACGAACAAGGCAGAAAGGACAAAAGACATGCGAGACGACCGGGTAGACCCAGGCCGCGGCTTGGACCCGACCGACTCGGTGAGAGGGATCGGGGGCTTCACAGACCATGCCCAGAAACTCGACTCGGGATGAGTTCGAGGCAAGCTGGGGGCTCATGGAAAACAGCCGATGGGTCCGGGCGGGGCAAGAGTTAACGGACCGGAAAATCTCCATTCCGCGCTCTAACTAAGGAAGATGAGCGGGAAGAACGCACAACAGGGGAGAGAAGATCCCGGATTCCGAATTGGAGCAACTCAGAGTCCTGCTTCTGGGATCTTGTCGACACGACTCGTCGAGATTCCAGCACCTAATTTTTCTTCTTATGTATTAAAATTACTTCCATATTGCAGATATCCCAGACGGCGATCCAGTGCTCACTAATCTCCTGAGCACATACCATATGAACGAGCTGGTCAATGTCACGTGTCGCTTCGGGCCTGTCAAAGGAACAAGTAGAGGTCTCACTTGGTACATAAACGACACCAAGGTGAATAGCTCTGTGGTCAGTGGTTGTCAGTCAATGACAACAGAGTCAGTCTATGCGATGGCATCACATCGTCGCTCATTTTTGAGGACAGCTATCGGAAAGTGAATTCAGCTCGGTCTTCCTTCGGATCCAGGTACGGAAAGACATGGAAATCCAGAAGGACATCTCACATGACGACGGCCGTGTCACACTCGTCAAGGTTTTGTTGTTTCACATACGACCTCGACACGTCGATTCAAAGGGAAAGCTAAAACTTCAATGTCGGGGCAAGATCGGGATGACCTTCCAGCTCAACAGCGAAGAGGTCCGTGTGAAAGCCCGCGCGAACAGCAGCCGTCTACAAGTCATCCGAGGCAAGCTACTCACGAGTTCTCATCTCGATGATCTCTGGGAACTCCCCTAGTGATTCTGAGGGCGAGACGGCCAAAAAGCGACGATCTTAACAAGATCTTGTATGTCATTCGATAGGAACTGAAATGGGTGGACCGCAAATAGCCGGTCTTTACAGCAACTACCGCAAGCAGGAGAGTCTTGTTGTTGCGTGCAAAACGCGCGACGCCCTGGGACATCGTGACAACCTTACGTGGTTCGTCAACGACAGAAACGTGAGTACTGTCGCGTGGGGCGGGGTCGCGCTATTCGCGATTTCATCGAACCGCGAATTCTCGCTGAACGATTTCTTGCGCCGCCTAACAAAATACAGACTCGCTTCTTTCTGACCGCGAATCAAGGCGTCTGAATGGACTTCATCGTACCCTATCGTCGAGATCGATTCTTCGAACTCGGTCCGAGAAACCGAACTTCAGCTCCGCGTGCCCCTCACTCCGGATAATTTCCAGCGGAGCGAGCTCAGGCTGAGATGCTCAATGCTCCGTAGCGAACGGTTCACTCGGATAGCCGAGGCGTCCGCGCACGTTCTGTATCACCGATTCTCGGGTGAGTCGGGGCGTTGGTCCACGGCTTTCTTCCGGAAGTGCGACGAAACCACGTGGTCGAATGACTCTTGATCACTCATTGTATAAATTTCAGCCCAGAGCTCCCGATCGGCCAGCTTATGCTCCAGCCTGCCGATCGCGGCCGTAGCTCTCGTAACACTACTTCAATACCACGTATAGAACGTTCCGCCCCCCTAAGGACCGAACACAGCCTTCGAAACCGAGGAATTCTCTCCCACTCAGGAATACTCCGTCTGGTTTAAAATAACCTGTCGGTGGCCGATATCGGATCGTGGGCTGGTCGGGGATTGAGCATGCTATGCATGATGAGAGGAATTCGTGCTCAATGAGGAGTTGCCGGAACGATCAGACGAAATCTCGGAGTCGGAATGTGAGAGCGAGATTTTCTTCTCCGTCAGAAACTGAATCCGAAAATTCGAGATCCGCGATTCCTCAGTCGAACCGCTCCGATTTTCGGACATGGCGGAACTGAATCCGCGAGGCTAAGCTCGACGAAATTCGTCTCGATAGCTCGCCGGATAAAGAACTCGGAATCAAAGGCAGAGTAGCCATCGTGCCGTCTCCGGGATTCTGTAACACGCACATTCATGAATTGTTATGGCGATTCTCAAGACTAGTTCCGTGTAGTCTTTGTTAATTTCATCATCTCGTGATCTACGCGAACGGACTCGATGCTCAAGGTGCAACCTCCTGGAAGCTAAGCGGTTATGTTCTCGCGGGGTCCCCCAACAAAATTCAAGGGAGGAAGCACGACACCGACGAAGACTACCCCGAGCCAGAATAATGCGGAGTCCCTTGGAATCCGCATGCTTGCCAAAAATATATCGGAGAACCGGGGAACGATGACAGTGCGACACCTCGAGCCGTTTACTGAACATTAAGGTTAACATCGCTCAGGTTCCGGAGGGACTTCCCAAAAATTCTCAGTGAACCTCCGAAGTCGTGTTGGAATCGGATATCATCAATATGATTAGTAGCTGTGAGCGGAGATGTGTAGAAGCTGGCGCAATGGAAGATGAATTGTTTAAATATGGAGACGGAAGTCCACTTTGTATATATTGTTCTGAAAGTAACACTGACTTTAATCGAAACGACGAGATGCAATTTAAGTCGTGAGTCGAGGGAGACGTCCCTCAATGCGGAACGATCAGTCGGGAAGGAGGTGTCGGAATTATGAAGTTTTCAATAAAACTCGGTCATGAAAACAAAATAACTCCACGGAAAGTATTTTCAATGGACCTTAAATACTCCTCGTTATTTCTTTCCCCGCAGGAATCTGTATCGAATTCTAAGCGAAAAAAAACGCCGAGAGTACAGAAATTTTGGGACAAGAACCCCCGGAGGCTCGAGATTTAGTCACCGAGAGGCCAGTCCTCTTCCAGAAATGACGGCTCTTTCCAGGGACAGAGCAATAATTGTAGCCGATCACGAAGCGAGGCCGATCATTCTCGCTCGGACTTAATCACATTCGTCTTCCGGCTCTCACGGCGGTCCACGCTTATTCAGAGCAATGCAAACATAGATAAGAATCTCGCACCGCTCATATATGCGATTCACCTACCCATACATTAAACGTCGTTAGCGAGCCTAAGTAAAGAAGAACTCAAAACGACGCCTATCGACACTGAACGATCTTGCGCGTCCGATCGATACGAAGCCGTTGTGGATTTTGCTGCTGCCGTCGCTGCTACCATGACCAATATGCTCACAAATGTTTTGAATGGGTCTACAACGCAAAATTTCTTCAATAAACCAAGTTCCGGTCGCATCGATCGGACGGAATAGGAACGCTCAAAAGACCAGCTATCGGAACGACACAAGTTCCCCGCCCCGAACTCCTTTGCACTGGACCAGCGTCCAGCCTATCCGACCCGGCCCAATATAGCACGTCGAGATGCCTCGGTCGAGTCGTTCCTTGGCCGGGAATCGGACGAGACAATACAAAAGGGATCTGTCGTCGATCCTAAGACCGGCCTTGTCAAGAGAACCTCGATCAGCGGAAGTTCTGGTGTGAGAAAGTAAGTCTCCGCATTCCTTCGAAGCGGATCATAATTCTGAATGTTCTCTCCACTTCGGAGATCTATGATATGTATACGGATTCACGCAAGCGAATATATCCAAATCGGAGACTATCCAGGACAATCACCCCCTTTGATAACATAAGGAGCCGAGCCCTCCCGCTCAGAGATGAGAGCCATTCTTTTGTCGGTTGGTTGATGCACAGGCAGCTGATGTTTTCGTGCCGAACAAACTCCTCCTGCCTGATGAGCGCTCATACGGAAGCGCGCGGGCATCACGGAGGACGAACTCTCCGTAATATATTCTTGAGCAGATTCTGCGACAATCGAGAATCTCTCACCGATTTGCGCGTCATGAATTCCGCGCAAAAATAGGGCTCACCGGAGGACGATTCTCATCGGTGCTGGTGTCACGAATCGGTGTTTGATGGAGTCTGGGTTACAACGGCCCAGATCAGCGGCGGCGACACGACGGTAATGGCGGCAATAACCTCGTTTCTGCTGGTGGGCGTTTTTCTTCAGCAATGAATTATGGAAGTGCAAGTGCTTAATTAGTCAAGCCTGGCTTTCGTGCTCTGGCACGATATCTATATTGAGCCTCTGGATATATTGTATCGCACTGTTCTAACCCGGAATGGCTCGCCCTATCAGTGGAAATGTTACCAAACACGGCGACATCAGTGGGAACGAAAAGAGCGAAAACAATATTAATCGTCGTTTGGCCGGATTCCATTCATCTACGGGAAATTTCAGAGTCGATGGTTCCGAAAACTTCGATTGTTCCTCGACGCGTGCCCTCCGCGAAGACGCGAAAAAGCTTCCGAAAAAGCGATGATTACCTCCTTGCCCAGATTGAACGTTTTCCGTTGTCTTTTTCGAGCAGGTTTTAACAAGCTAGCCTCTTCGTAGCATCTTTCACGATTTGCATAATTCTTCCAAGTTTCAATTTGCATATTTCCTTTGTTTACTCGCAACTCGCTCAAGTTGCGGCGGCGCGAACGGCCGAGGAGAGAAAATTGGAGTCATTAAAGCTGTGCAGGAATGTGTTTTTCTCGCTCGTCTACTGTGACTGACTGAGAGCCGGAAACAGGCCCTTGAGCGACGGAAACGACGGGAAAAAGGTCACAGGTTGAGGCTCCTCGCGGCTCCCCAACGTTTAGTCAAAAGCGGGTCCTGTGCCTTATAGGTCCAGGGATTGGAGATGATTATCATTCTATTGCGGGGCGTTCGATCCCAATTCCACAGGCGGGAGATGGATTCCTTCGGGATGAGAAGAGCCGTAGAATTTCCTTGAATCCAGGGACATGCATATAGAGGGATCCGTGCACAACGCGACCTTAGGCGAGGAGGAAGTGCTCAGCGAACCCTGAAGGATCGGAAGCGTTCCCGCATATGAAGAGTGCATATTGCTTACTGTGGCCTTGTTGGTGCGTATCCGCTTGCGTAGGAAAAAGTCATATTGTTAGAACGCGCCTGTTGCTGACTTCGTCTGTCGCCCTCAGGAAACGATTCCCTTTGAGAAGTCTCCGCTCGGTATCGGTTGCTTGTGATTTCGGAATGTTCGACATGACAACGAATGAATGCCTCCTCCCATCTCAGAAGGCGAAGAAGGCTAGGGGGCGGCCAACGGGCCCCTCGCAGCCTCCCTAACGGCGACTGATTTGAGCGCGCCGGTACTGAAGCATTCTACCGACCTGGACCTGGAGCATTCCATCATGGTGTAGTCCCCCGTTCTACAGCGGATTGCAGCTTCCTGTCCGAGTCCCAAGGACCTTGCGGGCCTGAGCTCGCTCATTCCCTCATGTGGATGTCTGCGGAGTGAATTCAGCATGATCCCACTCCCTTGTGCGGCTCGTATGGTCAGACGTTCCGTCGTATCGATCTCTTCTTCTGCCTGTGGACTAAAGCTGCCGATAGTCATCGGGGGACTCCGGGATAAAACGTATCGGAGCGGGGGCGTTTCTTTCACGGTGTTTCCCTTCCGAACAGATCAACACCATTATTACGCAGCTACTTTCGGCGTGACCGCGCGGAGAAATCACGAGCAGGAATCGTGTTTCGTCAGAGGCTCGCTTTGCGGCTCGTCTGACCGCGGGGTGCGACGGAAATACTTCCACATCACAAGATGTTCCGTCTGTCGCTGCCACCGTCTCGCCATTTAGCATGACAGTCGCTGGCTCCGGCACTGATGGCTCCAGGGGAGCGCCGACGAGGGGGGACTTTCTTCCGCTAGTATGCATTCATTGGAGGTACCGTTTCCCCGAGGGCAGCGAGTCGGCGCAACTATTCCCAAGTCGCTTATTCCAAAAGCGTTCAATGATTCGCTGATTGCCTCTTGTTCGTCCCTTCTCGTCGTCGCGCGCGACGCAATTTCGGTCACGAAAATTTGAGCGTAACATACTTCCGGCCTTTTTTTGGAGCTGCGACGTTCTCTTTCAGGTGGTGTGGAATCTGAAAGGAATCGGACATCGAGGTCTACCTCAGTCGGTTCGCTTTGTATCGTTCAAGGCTCGCCGGACGACTGGGATCCGAGATCGGCTTCGATTCCGATACCCCTGATTGGGAGAGTAGAATGAAATCAGTTCTCTTGATGAGCAGCAGCTCACTGAACCGTGGACGCATCGTTTCGCTGCTCCGTTCGCCAGACGATTATTTGAGCTTGAAAATTTTCTCTTCCCGATTTTTCGCAGAACCTCAGGTAGATCTTGCACCTTGGGCAATCCGGGTCAAGCAAGAACCCTCCTCCTTCCACACAGTGTGACCCCCCGGTTGGACCTCATCGACTGGGCTGGGCGAGGAAACCAGGGAATAACTCCGGGAGATTATATTCTAAGCGATTCAACCGCGTATAGAGGAAGCGAAAGAGAGAACTCGCATTTCACGGCCAATGAAGAATCACGCAACTTGGCATTTCGTTCGGGGGGCCTCCTCCGTGGGTGCAGAGGTCAAATTCACGATCAGCTCTCATTTTTGATCGAGGGAGGGTAAATTTCGAATCTGCCGAACCATTGATACATGGCGTCAGCGGCCCGACCTGTGTACCACGATGTGTATCCTGCTCTGCCCTTTCGTTATTCCGACTCAGAAACTCGCATCCCCTTATTCTGAGACTCGGTCCGCATTACGCAGCGTGAAATCGCT